TCTGTAAACACAAAAAATATCGAAATTGTATATATTCACAAAATCTGTTTACAGTGTCTGTATAAATCAATGTGCAGGTACAAAATCTCTGTATGGTCCTCTGATTCTTCACTGGCGTTATCTCCTGTGCACACAAGTCAAGCCTTTTTAATCTCATTTTGAGATATGATTTACACTTTCCCCCGCGTGCTAGAGACTAGAGAGAACCTCAATACTAAATAATTCAAACCTCAATACTATATTAGTGAAACCCCACATCCCTTTTCTAATGTGATACAAAAGTTATCACATTTCCTTCAAACTAGCTTTACTTTTCCCATTTTAAATGGGTACACTTTGAGAAACAATTTCTCATTCACTGATTATTTATTTTGAACGTATAATATATCAAATTGAACCTCTCACTTAAGGGAGTCTAAAATCATCCCCAAATCATAAATAAACCCCATTAAAAATTATGCCGCAAAGTAACCACTTTAAATGTTACTTTTAACTAAATTATTGTACAAACTTATAACATTTCCAAAAACTTGTTAACATGTATCAAGTATAGGGCATAGGCGCCAATTGGCATCATACATTAACTTTCCCTACAATTGTATCTTACTTTAAATTCAATTATACTGAGTATTTGTTCATCGCTTAATATTTAACTTTTAATAAAATGATAAATGTAAATTTACTGTACACAATTGCTAAACATTAAAACTTTATATTTTCCTAATAATATAAATTGAACTAGTGCCAATTGGTACCATAACTTTTTCACATATAGTCATATATACACATATATAGGTATTAGATTAAATAACACTGCTGAAAATTATGGAATTTTCGACCACCTGAAAATGATATTAAATCAAGTCGAAAGCCTTGTTCCGACCACTTTTGGTATCCGGAAAAACCTTTTTTGCTATTTTCGACCACTTTTTGCTTTCGACTTGATATAAGATCACTTTCAGGTGGTCGGAAATTCCATAATTTCTAGCAGTGTAATAATCGTCGCCCAAGTAAAAACTTCGAACTCATTCTGATCGTTGATCTGGAAATTATCAACTGCTTAAAAGCCAAGGAATTTGAAAAAAAATGCAATTACTGATAAGAGTCTAAAAGTTTATAATTTCACCTTGCATTTAAGCTTATTTTCCTTGTTATTTGTTATAATTTTGCCCAAAGTGTCCTCATTTGATTCATTTGTGTGCTTATGAGTAATTCTTAGCTTGATCATTTAGATGAATTGAGTGATTTTTGGGGCATTTCGGATGCATGTAGAGTCAATGGGAGCCAATGAGAAGCTATGAAGATGGGGGAAACACCTTTTAGAGAGCCAAATTGTGGTGTGTTTAGTGGTCTTGGTCATTTGGACAAACAAAGGCAAAAGTGGAGCAAAAGAGCAAGAAGTTGAAATTCTCGCACAAATCGTCCACTGCTCGGTTTTTTTATCATATCTCTGCGTAGGAATGTCCAAAACAAGTTAATTTTATATCATTGGAAAGCTAACTTGAAGAGCTACAACTTTGATTCAAGCACGTAAGGCTAATTCAAACGTTTCGAGGGTGAAAAAGTACCTAGAAGACAGTCGTAGTGCACAGGCAGATCACTGCCTGGTGGCCACGGGTATGGCTACGGCCGTGGCCACACCCGTGGCCACTGGGCAGTGTGATCTGCATTTCTGGCCACGGGTGAAGCCACGCCCGTGGCCAGCCCTCTGCACTTTTTGACAGTGCATTTTTGACCATTTTTAGGAGATTTTTTCACCCAAAACATGTCTTTCATTACATCTTTCATTTTCCTTTCATTCTCTAGTTAGGTTTGGCTCTAGTATAGCTTAGATTAGTATAGATTTCTTATTCCTTTCCATTTCCAAGCGCAAGAACACATTGCAATCTTGGATTTCAAGGCTTCAATAGAGAAGTTTTCTATTTATCTCGTCTCTTTACTTTTCATCTATGCTTTCAATTACTCTTTTAATATTGTGTATTTATTGTTATATTATGAGTATCTAAGTATTTTGAGACTAGGATTTGGTTTGATTTCTTGCTATTGATGTCTATTTGAGTTGTATTGCATACAGGGGATTATTTGGGTGATCTAGGGTTGTTGTGTGAATTGGGTTTGTTGAGAAATTTGTGTATGATTGTTGGATCCCAATCATATGCTTGTTTTGGAGTTTGTTTGTTGCTACGAGAGTAGAGCTTGTACACTAGCCACACATTCACACACTTAATACCCCATACGAGAGTATTTTGGTTGTTAAGGGGAATCGTTGCCTTGTGTTCTTGTTTGGGCTTCCTTGGGTTGAATTGTCACGAGAGTGGAGTTCAATGTGAGGTTGCAAGTCCAAATAGCTACGAGAGTGGTATTTGGGTACTTTTGTGCATCTCACTTACCCTATGCCTTGATTTAGTTCCCTAATCCTTAGTGTAATATTTGGCATCTTAGCTTGAATCAACCAAGTCCCGGTCCTTTGTTTTAATTGTCTTATTTGTTATTAGCTTGTTCGTATCAAACCATCTCATTAACGATAGGCCTAGCTTCTAAAAGGGTAATTTTAGCTTGTGTTTAACTCCACTTTGCATCAATTCCTAACATTACAAGAGCCATCTCCAGTGGAACGATATCTAAACTCTATACTGTGATTTGATACTTGATGGATGTGTGAAAAATGTATGTCCTCATCAATTATATTTTGGTAAATATATCAAATTTTAAAATACATGCACCGACCAACATTACAAAGTTCATTGAACAACACTATAAAGTATATTGAACAATAATACAAAGTGCATCTAATGATATGTGAAGTGTAACATCTCGTACACATTTTTGCATATTATTATATGCACTTTGTAATCGTGCGTGATACACTTTAAAGTTTAAAATGTTTATTAAAATGTAGTGATATTTTAATTTTTCCAGATTGTTTAGCTTTAGAGCCGTCGACCTTTTCTAAATTAACATGTGATCTGAGATTAGTTTAAAATTATTATTTGGGGAGTGATTGTCACAAAATCTAACACCTATCTATACATGGATGCATAGCGTGTGTACTAAATTTACTTCTGAACATATATGTAACCCTTTTATGTCTCCCACTGAGCATCTCATTTTATGTTATAGACTGATTGGCTTGTTGTGGGATATTATTTGTGTGGTTTTGCATCACACGGGCCCACGTTTAGTCTATTTCAATCACTTTTCTCATAAAGCTGCAACTTTTATTTTTACACAATTGACATATTTAAAGAAAGATACTAATTTGGACACTTCTAAAATAGCTTTTCTTCAAATAATACTCCATATTATAGCAGGGGGGCAATGGTGGCAGTTGGCCGTCCAGGAGAAAAATAGAACTATTCAGCATCGTTCACGTGTCCAAATTTAAAGAATGAGAAATATTGATTTTTTTTAAAAAAAATACGGTGACATATTTGTAAATAATCGAACATCGAAGTGCAAGTAAAATGTATTACAAGTGCAAGTAGCAGTTTCATATAGTGTGCATCTCAGTGCATGTAAAATGTATTACAAGTGCACGTAGAATGTATTACAGGTGCAAGTAAATTTGCACTGAGCATCAAAACTAAGTGCACCTAGCATTATAACTAGGTGCACCTTTAGTTATAAGCTAAGTAGTTGCACTCAGGTGCATGAATGTTGACAATGTAAAATTACACGCACTTGTAAGTGAAAGTACGTACACTTGTAAGTGATTTTACCTGCACTTTTTACTTGCGAAGGTGCACCATCTACTTGCACTCATAACACATTTACATGCACCAAAGTTCGAATTATTTACGAAAATACCACCGCGTCGTTTTTTCAAAATTACATCTGATTCGTTGATCTGGATAAGAGGACGGTGCTGAATGGTTTTTATTTCTCACCTGGGCGACCGTTCGCTTGAGAGCGTGCCCCTATATATATATATATATATATATATATATATATATATATATATAGTGTGTGTGTGTGTATGTGTGGAATATTTAGCATAAAATGGCATTTAAGAGAAAGGCTGCTTCGGATACAGCCAACCCTCATGTCAATTTTTAACAACCTCTTTGCTCAACCCTTTGGTTAGCGGATCCGCTAGGGCTGGGCAAATCGGTTCGGGTAACCCGAACCGAACTGGTTCGGTTCGGTTCGGTTTCTACCCAAAAAATCGATCGGTACTAGTTTAGGTGAAACCGATCGGTTCGGTTAAAAACCGAACCGAACCGAACCGATAACCCGATCGGTTTTTTAAATTAAAAAATATATATATTATATATAATAATTAATAAACTAAAATACTAATTCTTCTAAGTTCTAATAATATCTAACTTCTTCAGTACTTCAGAACTAACCCTAATTCCTCTCACTCATCATCGACATTCGCCACTCACCCCTCGCCCTTTCGCACTCTCGCCCTTCGCCACCGCCCCACGCCTCCGCCACCGCGCCACGGCTCTGCCATAGACTCGTCACTTAGAGTCTCAGACCATAGTTAAAGAGTGAAGCCTGAAGGACACCCGCGACCAAGGTAATGTTTGGCTTTTCGATGTTATATTTTTTAATTTTATAGTTTATAGTTTATACTTTATACTGTTTATAGTTTATACTTTATACATTTTCTCGATTTCTTATTTCAATTTGAATAGTCTTGAATTTTGAATTAGGGCTTTTATTTAGACTTAGTGTTCTAGAATTTCAAGTTCATTGTGTTAAGTTGTAATGTTGTATATCAATTTCAATAGGTTTAGTACACTTTATTTCAATTTTATTTAGACTTAATCTCATTCCAGTTCACTGTCCAGTGAACTGGAATTTAATTCCATAAATTCCAGTTCACTGTAATATCATGGTATTCCAGTGAACTAGAATTTAAATTCCAGTGCACAGGACAGTGATCCAGTGAACTAGAATGGGATTATTCCAATTCGAACTGAAAGTGTTATATATATACATTCCAAAGTTTATTAGGACTCAAGTCACTTACAGTCCCGTTTACATTTCAGATGGATGATTCTTTATCTTCGCATCAAGGAAACATTTCAAGTGACACTTCAAGTAGCACTCCAACTGAGCCAATTGAAGAATCAGTGGGACAAAAAAAGAAAATGTACAACCAGTGGACTTCCACCGAAACCAAGTGCTCCAAGGTCCGAGGTATGGAATCACTTTACTAAATTGGAGGACAACAAGGATAAATGTAAATGTAATTACTGCTTTAAAGAATTTAAGTGTCCAACAAAGAGTGGCACTAGTAGTTTGAGAACACATAATCAAACATGTGCTGCATTTAAGGATCATCTTGATAGTGCAACTCAAAAAAATCTAACAATACATGAAAGTGCAAGTGTTGTTAAAGGTGGTAGTAGTCAGCTTGTGGCGGTTGGGTTTAATCAAGAGGCTTGTAGGAGGGCAACTGTTAAGATGATTATTTTAGATGAATTGCCATTTTGTTTTGTGGATGGGGATGGGTTTAAACAATTCTGTATTGTTGCTTGTCCAAAGTTTATTATCCCTTCACGAAGAATAATCACAAGAGACGTAGTTGAATTGTTCATGAAAGAAAAAGCTTTATTGAAGAGTGTGATTAGTGAGTCAAGGGTTTCTTTAACTACTGATATATGAACTGCAAGTACTACTACTGTCAGTTATATGGTTATCACTGCTCATTATGTTGATGTGAACTGGCAGTTGCACAGAAAAATTATCAGTTTTAAACCAATTTCTGATCATAAAGGTGAAACATTTGCAAAAGAACTTGAGAATTGTTTGATTGATTGGGGCATTACCAAAGTTTTTACTATCACAGTTGACAATGCATCTGCTAATGATAGTGCACTTAGGATTTTCAAAACTAAAGTGAGGTGTTGGAGAGAGGATCCTTTGATACTGGGTGGAGAGTTTTTGCATGTGTGTTGTTGTGCACATATTTTAATTTTGATTGTGAAGGATGGTTTGGCAGTGGTGGGTAATAGTGTGGTTAGTGTTCGTAATGCAGTGAAGTATGTGAGATCTTCCAATTGTAGATTTCAAGCATTTCAAATTCGTGCAGAGCAAGATAACCTAAGTAGAGGGAGTTTGATTTTGGATTGCAATACTAGATGGAATTCTACTTACCTCATGTTGACTGCAGCTTTCAAGTATAAGGCAGCATTTGATCGAATGGCTAATGAAGACAAGTTGTATGATGATTACTTTAAAGAGGATGAAAATGGAAAGAGAAAGTTTGGGCCGCCATCATCAATTGATTGGGAGAATGTTCGGCGATTGGTACAATTTTTAAAAATCTTTTCTGATGCCACTTTGTCTTTTTCTTCATACAAAACTGTGACATCTAGTCATTGTTTTGATGATATATGCACAATTGAAGTTAATTTGAATGTTTTCAGTACTAGTAAAGATGTGAATATGAGTGGCATGGCTTTGGAAATGAAGAAAAAGTTTGATAAGTATTGGGAGGGGTCTGAGATAAATAAATTGTTGATTGTTAGTAGTGTGTTGGATCCGAGGAGCAAGATGAGTTTTGTGACAATTTTTTTTGAAAAATTGTATGGGAAAGATACACCAAAGTGTAGTGAAATGAAAGAAGCAGTAGTGGATGTCATGCGTAAGTTGTATGAGGTATACAGTGCATTTTATGCTAAACCAAGTGCAACTACAAGTCAAAGTGGTGGTGGAAGTGAAAGTGGATGTGAGAGTGTAATTCAATCTTGTGTGACTAGTGAATTGGTTTTAAATGTTGGTGATGTTGCACCGGTTGGGAGTATTTTTAACACGTATACCACCAATTTGGTATGTGAAAAAAGATATGTGCAACAAACATCAAATGAGTTGGATATATACTTGATGGAAAAGATTGAAATGCCAGCCCCTAATAGATTGGGTATGCAATTTGATATTTTGTCATGGTGGAGGAAAGAAAGTATGAAATTCCCAATCTTGTCACAAATGGCACGTGATGTTCTTGCAATTCCAGTTTCTAGTGTTGCATCAGAGTCTGCCTTTAGCACTTCAGGCCGTATTTTAGACCAATATCGGAGTTCTTTGACACCGTATATGGTAGAGGCATTGATTTTGACACAAGATTGGTTGCGGTCTTCACTCCAATCTGATGCAACAGTAAGTCTGGCTCAGATATTAGAAGAAACTCAGTTTATGGATATGCTTGCAGAAGGTAATTGACAATTCTATATTTTATTATGAATTTATGTATAATATATACTATATTAGTTTATGCTTCAATATTTTATTATTTTAACTTCTTTTTGAACCTTTTGTTTTGTTGTACAGAGATTCGCAAATCAGCAGGGCAACTTCATATTGATCCGTGATGATGGATGAACAATTTATCAACATATGAGTTTGGAATTTGGATTACTACGTTGATTGTGTTTGATTAGACTTTGGATTTGGGTTATTTGATGTTTTATGTTTGTAATCTTTAAACATTGGATTTGAAGTTTGAACTATGTTATGTTTCATGTTTGTAATGTTTGAAGTCTTTGAACTTTGAACTTTGAACTTTGGATTCTAATTTTTAAGTATGTGTTGTTTTGGTAATTAGATTGCTATTAGTATGTTTAAACTTTGAATTGTTATTTTGTTATATAACGTTTAGATTTTAGATGTGGATTGTGTGAATAGTATTGTTTGGTAGTATGTTTTGAAAATTAGGAAATGTTAAAATTTGGGGATTATAAAGTCTTAAATCCGAACCAAATTAAAACCGAACCGAAACCGAACCGATTGAAACCGAACTGAAGTCGAACCGAACTATAATATTAAACCGAATGGTTTGACTTTTCTAAAACCAAAAAACCGAAACCGAAACCGAAGAAAACCGAACCGAAAACCAAAGTGCCCACCCTTAGGATCCGCTACGTTGTCTTTTGACTTCACATAGTCAACCGAGACAACACTAGTTGTGAGAAGTTGTTTAATGGTATTATGTCTACGACGAATATGTCTAGACTTACCATTATACATATTACTCTGTACTCTCCCTATTGTGGCTTGACTATCACAATGAACACATAATGGATGCACAGGTCTTTCCCAACTAGGAATATCCTCAAGAAAATAGCTTAGCCATTCAGCTTCTTCACAACATTTGTCTAAGGCTATCAGCTCAAATTCCATCGTGGATCTGGCTATCACAGTTTGTTTAGAAGATTTCCATGCAACGGCTGCACTGACTAGTGTAAACACGTAGCCACTCATGGTTTTAGAGTCCTTAATATCATATATCAAATTAGCGTCGTTGTAACACCCCGTGTTACGATCTTCAAGCCCAGATTAATTATGTAATTAATCCCGCTAAGAATAGTTAAAAAGGATTTAATTTAGTTAGCATCTCCTTAATTAATTAATGTGGTCCACAATGGACCGTGGACCCTTGTCTATATTAAAGACCTTAAACCTGGTAGGAATAAAGAGAGTAGACCTTCTACTAGTCAGATTTTAATTAGGAATCCTAGACCTATATATCCGTTAGGAATAAAGAAAGTAGGCATTTACTATTCAGATTCTAATTAAGGATCCCTAACTCTATAAATAGGGGATTAGAAAGCAATTAGAACCATTACCACCCATAGTTATATTACACGAAATTATTCCCAAGAGACCGGGCGAAGAGATTCCCCACCACCAAGCTTAGGGAGATCAATCGGAGGAAAATCTTAGAGAAGAACCTTAATAGCCAAGGGAGGATTAATTAAGGCTAAGAGGTAACTCATGTATTACAAAACCTATTTTCCTTGCTATATCTTGATTATTGGCTCCTTTGATGTGTGATTCTGTGATTGAGTCTTGATAGAGCTTTGCGTAGGGTTTATGTTGTGTTTATTTGATAATCTTGATTATCTTGATGTTGTGATTGATTATATGTGTAATCTTGTATTTAATTATGTCTAGAGCTTGTCCCTAGGGTTTATATCTTGAATCTCGTTTTGTGATATTCTTGGTATTCTTGGGTGGGTTTATACATGCTCGGGTGTTGAGTCTAGCCTAGGACTTGTCTTTAGGGCTTTGCATATAAATTTCTTGATGTTCTTGAGGTTCCGGATGCTCCTGAATCGTTATGTGATTAATATCGAGTCTTGGCATGTTTAGGAATCGTGTTAGAATGTAATTGGAATGATTCTTGGGTTCAATCTTTGTTAATCGAATCCGTGTTGTTGCTGTTACGTGTTGGAATGTGTTTGGACATGGTTTTGGGTTCCACGAACGAACCCCAAACCGGTTTTCTACCTTCGTACTAGTGGGGGTAGGTGGGGGGAACGAGTCCCCACCACCTACCCGCTACCCGGCGTTCCTAGTTCCAGCGGGCAGTGGTCTGCCCGCCGGACACCCGCTGGAACCACGGCTGCCCACCGGCAGGTGGCCGGCGAATGGTCCACCACCCATCGCCCACCCGCTGGAATGTGGTGGTGCGACGGGATGTTTTTCCCCGTTTGATGTTTCCCCGTGTCCCGTTGTACCCCGTTTGATGTTTATGAGTCATGTGTGCTGTTTGAGTACCGTACTAGGAATTTATGTGTAGTGCGTGTCGTTGCTACTATGCCTTGATTATTATTGTTGATTGAATAATGATGAGTGTGGTGATCATTGCGCAATGGTCGATGTGACTTATGAGAATGTGATTGTGATTGGTGGAAATGAATTGTTGGCGGAAAGCACAACGAGTGCTCGGTTATCGTGCTAAAGGCACAGACCACCCCTTAGACTTGCTGGCTAAAGGCTTGGGTCAGGGTATAAGCGCCGCAATGTCATGTCATAGCTATACGCGCTGACCCCTTGGTAGTGGTGCTAGAGGCACGGACCATGCGAATGACACTTCGGTGCTACCATGTTGGTGGACTTGTTGGTGGTTACGGAGTGGAACATGTAGTTGCTCCGGAAGAATAAGTGAGGCGATATAAGGGTGGCCTGGAGGTACAGGTTGGAACTGATATAAGGATGGAGAGGAGTAAATGTTGGAACTTGGTATAAGGTTGAAAGACGAATTGTGTGCTTTGACGATTACTTGCTAATTGATTGTCATTGGATCTCGTTGTTGCCTTTAAATGCTATTCATGAGTTTACTTGTCTATTATGCCTTGCAAACGTAGGATGCATGCTAGTATCTCTATAATACTCGAAATGTTGTCTTATCGATGGTGTCTCGAGTCTTGATCTTGGTTTTAAAGCTAGTGTTTAAAATGTATTCCAGTTTCAAAATAATTTTTCATATATCTACCTATATTGTATCAACGCGTGGGAGTGGGTTACCAGCATTATTCGCTGACGGTTGTTACACCGTATGTTTTTCAGGTACAGATCAGTAGCTTCGGAGTGCGTTAGATGAACTCGTGAATTTAGCTTAGAATTAGTTAGATGGCCTGTGAGCCTTGAATTGTATTGTGGAAATTAATTATAGTTTATGTCTTGTTCAGTTAGTCTAGCCTGTGCATTTAGGTTCTCAAATCTAGATGTGACATAGCACCCCGATACTTATGTTGTTAGTTCCGCTTTGTTTGGATGATTAATGATAGATTTGTCTTTATTTTATAGGCTTTAAATGTTTTAAAAGTTAGGGGTGTTACAGTCGTTATACCCTTCAAGTACAGCATGATATCTCGTATAATGCAGTCCAAAGTCACGAGTATACCTTAAGTATCTCATAACTTTTACTATTGCATTCCAGTGTATATCACCGAGGTTACTCGTATATTTACTGAGTTTACTAACCGCAAAGACAATATCCGACCTAGTACAGCTCATAAGATACATCAAACTGTCAATAACCCAAGCATATTCTACTTGAGAAATGTCCTCTTCATGGTTCTTGGTTAGATGAACGTTTGTACCAAACGGTGTCCTAGCCAATTGATCATCATCATTGTTAAACTTTTCAAGAATTTTATGAATATAATGAGATTGGCTCAATACAAGACCATCAGGTCTTCTAATGATTTTAATCCCGATGACTAAATCAGCCAAACACATATCCTTTATGTCAAATTTTGCATTTAACATGTTTTTGGTAGATTTGATCATCCGATCATTACTACCAACGATGAGTATATCATACTACCAACGATGAGTGCATCACAAAATAGTCACTTTCCATGTCATTTTCTTGCTATTTTTCCAACATAAAGAACAAATATTATAAACATTGTATGAAATAATGTTATTAAATATGATACATTTGTTTGCACTTAATATAAAACAAAATTGTTTTGAACTAGGGCCCACCATGCAAGATGGACCCTAATCCACGATGTAATTTGTGAATGTTGGATTGCTAGCTAGCTAGGCCGATTTGTATCCTAGAGAGTTACCAATGGTTGGGTCAGGCAAATTATACCATGAATTATGGTTCATATCGTAAGTTGGACTGTACTGCTAATATATGTTCATTTTTAATATACAATTTATTTTTAATGTATTATATGTTCATTTTTAAATAATATACTAGTGACTTTGCATTACAGTATATATTAATGGTCTACCTTATAATTAAGTGGACATAGTCTAGGGTATAATAACGATTGGCTTGGTTGTGGTTGAGTGGTTCACGGTTTGGCATTTTTCCAGACAAATCGAGAAACGCATGCCGTAGGGAAACTGGTAGAAATGGTTCTGTAGCCACGTACGGCTATGGTTGTTGACTTGTCAACATCGAAATGGTTCTGTGGCTGTAGCTTTAATTTCGAGCCATGGCTATTGCTGGCTTTCATCTCCACCGTTGAAGACGAATAACAACGCATGCATGCATCAAATTATTAGAGGCAATTTGGAGTACAGTCGAGTGGCATCTTTCAACTTTTTACTCTGAAAACATCAG